TAGGTAGGGATTAACTTATTTTTTTCAGAGGGTTATTCAGTTTTGTAAGTATTATTTAATAAATGAACTACCATTCTCCACTGAGTGGAAATATCATATTAATCAAATATTAAATTTCTACCTACACTGGGCTTAGTCTCTGGGTTTTTGTTTCTCTGAGCTATTGGTGTATTCCTATACCGCTCCTTTCTGATTTTTATTGTAGAGTTTTTGAGTTTTTTGATTGGGGTTCTCTCCCTGTCATTCAGGCTGGAGTGCAATAGCACAGTCATGTCTCACTGCAGCCTCAAACTCCTGGGCTGAGGCAGTCCTTCCACCTCAGCCTCCAAAGTAGCTGGGACTATAGGCGGGTGCCACCACACTCACTATGTTGTCTAGACGTATCGTGAACTCTTGGATTCAAGCTATTCTCTTGCTTTGGCTCCCAGAGTGGGGGATTACAGGCATAGGCCACCATGCCTGGCTTTAATGAGAGAGACTTACAAAGTTTTCTTTTTAACCTTTTTAAAAATTAAAGTTTAAAGAGTGTTTAAAAAATGGTCAGATGATTTTCTCTCACTTAAAAAAAAAACACTATCTCTTGACTCTGTTTTTCCATAGAAACTTTTTATGTCGTATATTCTTTGGGTGAAACCTTGCATACCTCAAGTGGTCGAGAACCCAGCAGTCCTTGTCTAGTGACTTCTGATGTATCACTCTCCATGCTGTTAGTTCTTGGTGGGTCCTCAGGGGATGCTTCTCAGCGACGAAGTAGCCTCAGCCTAGTGGGCTGACTCACCTTCAGAGCAGGCTCTCTCTCTTGGAAGCTCTTAGTGGGTGGGGCAGGGAGTTGAACTCCAGCTCTCCACCTGCCGTATTGCCAGTGGGCTATCTAACAGACGTTGAAGATGCACAGGCCAAGACATACTATAATTGTCTGCCACCCTTGACTTGGCACTTAGTGGCCACCTGCTCAGTTTCTCAGATCAGGACATGGTCAGCCCCCTCATGGCATTCGGGCCTATTTCTTCATCTCTTTATTTTTCTTCGTAATACCGTTCTTTCTTACCACTGGCTTATCACTACTTGACATTATATAGATACTTGTTTATTGATTTTCCAGGTGGAAAGATGTTAATCCCCTATTTTTTAAATCAGTCTCTTCCCATATTTACTGTGGCTTTTTTGCTTTTTGTTTTATTTGATTCATTACAACCCACAAATTATGTTATCCTTGTGACATTGTGTTGTTTCCCCCAGTTACAACTTTGTATTCCCCCTGGTGTTGCAAAGTTTGCATCTAGATGCCCAGTGTGTCTCTTATCAGTCCTGAGTTTGCGTTGTTGTTATCTGCGTGCCTCTGTGTAGATAGCAATGGTCTATTTACTTACTCAGTCCAAAAAATATTTTACTATGCTAGTTTAGGCTATTTATATATATGGATGTATTAAGGTTTGGTGTTAATATTGTTATTTTATTTAAAGTTTTCTGTTTTCAATCTGTTATTTCCTGCTTTTTGCTATATAGCTTTTCGTTGCCAATTTTCTGTCTCAAATGATTTAGGAAGTATGTAATATGTATATATTTCTATTTTGTTTAATTTTAAGCTTTATGTAGTATTCTTGACCTTTTTTTTCTTTTTATCAACTTTATCAACTTTAGAAACATTATTCCTTCCTAGGAACTATGAAAGGAAGGAATTACCTCACCTAAATGTCCCCTCCCCACATTTTTACTTTGCGAGTTTTGTGGTTTCAATTTATTGTAGTATTAATGTATTAAGTTTTCCTTCATGTTTTATAACAACCAGGTCAGTGTTTTTTTTTTTTTAACTTTAGTTTTTAACTGTACTATGGTCTTATCAAACATAGTTTGTATCTTCAGTCTGTATTTTGTGATTCATTCCTGGGGGGGGGGGGAATCCTAGTATTTTCTTCTGATTATGACAGGAGTTTGTGGTTATTTAAGAAATTTTTTTTAATTTCAAAAAATCACAAAGAAGGGAAAAAATCACTTATCTTACTTCAGAATTACATTAATGTAGCACCTGTTCTTTGTCTTTTCGCCCTATGAATAGTATTACTGCTTACAACACCTGACTCTTCACATATGTACTGTAACTGCTTTTTCCCTTTACTTACAAATGTTATCTAGTGACTATTTTCCCATGACACTAAAGTAAGGCTGTGGAGTACGTAATGACCACATGACATAATGTAGCGTAGGTATATCATAAGTTAATCCCCTGTCGTTAGACAATTCAGTTGTTTACAGTTTGCTCTTATAAATTGTGCTTTGATGAATGTGGATGATTTACAACCCCTGGATTATTTTTAAGGCAAAATTCCAATAAGTGGAATAATTCTGAGGCTGTATGGTGTGGCTTTGTAGTCAGACTTCTTGGGTTCAAATCCTCACTTAGGTGTGTATATTTAGGCAAAATAATTTGTCTCTCTGTCTCAGTTTCTTAATTTGTTAGAACAGTGTATGAGACTTGAACACATTGTCGTTATGGTTGTCGTCATCATCTTTATTTAAAGAATATGCATATTTGAAATGTTTTTGACATATTTTCTCTTGAAAAGTTTTATTTTTCATTCTTACCAGCAAAACAAGAGAGTGCCATTTTACCAGCTCTGGCCAACTCATAATTTTAAAGTGTGATTTTTGTTGAGGGGGTGAGCCCAATTTTATAGGGACTATTTATATATATGTACTTCTTTTCTTTTTAGTAGAGATGCTAACTCACTATGTTGCTCAGACTGGTCTCCAAATCCTGGGTTCAAGCAGTTCTTCCACCTTGGCCTTCCAAGATGCTGGAATTATAGGCATCAACCACCTTGGCCATATCTTTGTTTTACTATCCAAATCTTGATTTTAATTTTCATTATGTGGTTGTTGTCCATTTTCATATGGGATACTTACATGTAATTAACCCTTGTATTTTATGTTTACTTCATTTATTCTAGCTGGTTATTTGCCTTTTACTTGGCTCTGGGGCTGATTTGTGCATTAACGTTTTACCTTTGTGGTATGCTTGGATAAAGGCAGCTCATTTACTCATATATTTGAGATAACAAATCTATTATTTGTGATAGTATAAATAGATTTATAATTTACTTAAGTTCTTTTTTGTGTCAGTGTAGATCTAAGTTTTTAAAAATACATTTTTTGCTACAGAATAAATTTAAATTTGTAGAAAAGTTGCAAAGACAGTACAGAATGTCTGTATATGTACCTTACCTGGTTTCTCATCTTGCATTACCATGGTCATTTGTCACAACTGAGATACCAACATTGGCACATTACTGTTCACGAAACTCCATATTCTCTCTTGATTTCAACTAGCCTTCCCACAGATATTTTCTGTCTGATCCAATATCTCATCCAAGACACCACATTACATTTAGTTGTCACGTGCCTTACTCTCCTCTGGTCTGTGCCAGTTCTCAGTCTTTCCTTATTTTTTATCATGTTGAGGTTTTGGAGGAGTGCTGTTCATGTTTGTTGTTGAATATTCTTCTAATTGGGTTTGTCTGATGTTTTTCTCATGGTTATTTATATCAATATGGACTCATGGATATTTTGTTGCTTAGATTTTTTCAGCTTTGGTCAGACAGCCTTGCGTTCTTTCATGTTGGCTTCTGTGTGGGCCTTTGACAGGCTCCATTCACCTCCCGCCTTCCTTGTTTTGTTGTTTTGTGGCTGTTCTTCGCACTTCTTTCTTTCTGGCATAAGCTGCTCCAGGTTTATAGACTGTGTTCCCTTCCCCAGCCCTCAAATTAGCCATTTCTCAAGAATTCCTATTTCCTTTTTGGAGAGTAGTGTGCAGAAACAAGGATCAGGCACCAGGTGTGCCGTGGCTACTGGTGTGTCCTTCTCAGTGGACAGAGCTAGATGACACTGTTGGAGTGTGTATACATCTCTACACAGACATCTGTGGTTGTGTCTTTACTTATTCGCATCTGTAGTAAAGTCACCATGGGCCCCACAGGCATCTCTAACTATGCTCCAACATCTCAGGTCACTCTAGCTTCCCTCCTGTACCTGTCTTCTGTCTGTGACTCCCCATTCTAGCTGTGGGACCCTGGTGCCCGGGTCTGCCATTGTTTTACTTACTTGTCCCACTCCAGTATATATGTGACATGTTTCAGAATTAGCCTATATCCTTGTGAAAAACAACTTTGCCAAATAAAGCACGATGTTTATGTGGTCTGCTTGTCTGTAGCCTTACAGTTCCCAGTAAAGTCACCACCTTCTAAAGTTACTCTGTCAGTTTCTGTTTTCACTCATAGTTCTGCTTAAAAGTCCATTCTGCTCCCAAGATGGATTTTATATATTATCTATATTTTATCTGTAATACATGTCTTATATAAAGCATGTACAATAGGTGTAATATATAATATTTAATAATATAATAAATGTCTGCAGTATAGTTCTTGATACATGTAATATGTATAATACATAACAATATATAATTTATATACAATATAATATAATAATATATGTGATGTATATAAATGGTATTTTATTTTATTGCTTTGTTTTTAGTTAAAATTCTTTTTTTTAAGTTGAGTTTTGCTATGTTGCTTAGGCTGGAATGCAGTTGTTATTCACAGACTTGGTCATAGTACACTGTGACCTCGAACTCCTGCCCTCAAGTGGGACTATAGGCATGTAGCACCACGCCTGGCTGTTTTTACCTTAAATTCTTAAATACATATATCTGAAGTTCATTGTGTCAGAGTGTAAAGTAGAACTCTTATTTCAAACAAAAGTTGCCCTATGTAAAACCCTTGATTTTCTTTGTTGTTAGAAATACCCTCGTTACTATATTTTAAAATCACATAGATCCTAGCAGCTTTCCATGCTTTTTATTGTTTTATTTTCTATTCTTGTTAATGGTCCAGAGGTTATGTAACTTTATGATAATTTCAGTATGTGGTAGAGTATTCTTCTTTTTGCCTATTTACGTTCACTTCTTTTAATTAATTGCTATAATTTCCTTTTCTTTATTTCAGGAACATTTTAGTGGATAAACCAAATGACCAGTCTTCAAGATGGTCTTCAGAGAGCAACTATCCTCCCCAGGTAAGATTACGTGGAGCCCCTGAGACTACTTAGAAGTCAGCATTCAAATAGACATTTATTCAATTGACATCAGTTACTTGGACTCTATTAATAGTTTATTCAGTTTTTGAGATTGTGAGGTACATTTTTATTTACTCTTTTTTGTTTAAGGTTTGGAATAATTTTTATTTCATAAGCAAATGCAATGTGGAATTTGATGAACATAGACCTTTTCTTCTGTCTGCTGGAACATTTAAAATTCATTCTTTTAATCACTAATGATGTAAGACTAAGTTTTTTGAAACCTTGTAAAAAAAATGCTTATTGGTTTTTGGGTTTTTTTGAGTCTCCCAGACTCTACTGCAGCCTTGACCTGCTGGGCTCAGGCAGTTCTCCCTCCTCAGACTTCTGAGTAGCTGGAACCACGACTAATTTTTGATTTATTGTAGAGACAAGGTCTTACCATGTTGCCAAGGCTAGTCTTGAACCCCTGGGCTCAGGCAATCCTCTTGCCTCAGTCTCCCGAAGTGCTAGGATTACAGGCCTGAGCCACCCTGCCCAGAGTAGAAAAATGTTAACAGATAAGAACTGGCCTGAGTCTGTTGATGTTCTGACTTTAGCAGAGGCTGTGACCTCTGTTTCATTGACACTCAAGTCATTCTGTGTTTAAGGAAAAGTTAAACAATTTAACGTTGACTCAGTGACTGCCTTATGGGGAAAATAACTTCTTTTTTTTTTTGAGTCAAGCTCTCTGTTGCCCAGACTGGAGTGCATTGGCATGATCACAGCTCACTGTAACCTTGAACTCTTAAGCCCAGCCTCCTGCCTCAGCCTCCTGAGTAGCTAGGACTACAGACATATGCCACTGTCCATGCCTGGCTACTTTTTTTTTAGAGGTGAGGCCTCACTCTGTTGCCTAAGCTAGTATCAAACTCCTGGCCACAAGCAATCCTCCTGCCTCAGCTTCCCAAAGTGCTGGGGTATAGGTGTGAGCCCCTGTGTCTGGCTGGAAAATATTGTTTTTTATTTTACTAAAATAGTATACTTAGGTACCATCAGAACCATGAGCTAAGTTTCTTTTTCCTGTTAAGTGGTGCCGAGGGTGGTCTGAATTGAAAAACAATCAGTTTTTTTAGTTATACACTTTCAGCACTTTCATGTTTACTATGTAGTAGGCACCCTTATATTCATACCCTTGAAGAATTAATGCTCTGATAGGTAAAACACACTTTGTTTTTATTTTAGTGTAATTCATGGATAACTCCTCTCTACATATTTTTTCTTTTATACATATATATATTTTTTTCTTTGCTGTTTGCATGCCTACTTGGATAGCCTAGTGTTTATGTGTTTTGTTGCACAGTACATATCTTAAAGAATATTTATTTGTAATTTTTATGCCCAATATAAAGAATTGTGTATAAAGTTTCCCCTGTGAGCCTCCTCTTATGTCTTTCCTCAAAGCCCTCCCCAGTAACTATAAATTCATGTTTTGTTGAACATTTTCTTACAGTATTATATATGTGTAGTATATACATAGCCTATGATTTAGTTTTTTGGCTTTGACTGTTAAATAAAATATAAATTCATTCACTTAGTTATAAATTTTCTGCAACTTGCTTTTTTTTCTTAACATGTTGTTATTAATGTGTGTAACTGTAGCTTTGTTCATTTTCACTGCCACATAGTATTCCTTGTATGAATATGCCAAAATGTATTTATTCATTTTGCTGTTGATAGGCATTTGGATTTATTACAGTTTTTTGGGGGTTTTTTGCTATTATGAAATGGGCTGCTATGAACATTCTTGTATGTTGTCTTCTGGTCCACATGTATAAGTTCTCTAAGGTATATGCCTTGGAGTTGAACTTCTGAATAACAGGGTAGGTATGTATATACTCAGCTTAATCAGAAAATGCAAACTGTTTTACAAAGTAGCCGTTAATTGATTCTCTCTGTGGCAGTACATGGCTTTTGCTGTGTGTCACATTCTCTTCATCACTTTTTTTTTTTCTTTTTGAGTTGGAGTCAAACTGACACTCAGGCTAGTGCAGTGCAGTGGCATGATTGTAACTCACTGCAGCCTTGACATCCTGGGCTCAGGTGATACTTCTGCCTCAGCCTTCTGAGTAGTGGGACTGTGGGTGCGTGCCACCACACCCTTCTAATTTTTTGGTGATTGTTTTTGTAGAGACGAGGTCTCACTATGTTGCCCAGGCTAGTCTTAAATTCCTGGACTCAGGCAGTTCTCCTGCCTTGGCCTCCCAGAGTGCTAGGTTGACCTTATTGGCATGGACTACTGTGCCTGGCCCTCTTTACCACTTCTATGGCTGATATTTAGATTTTGCCAGTGTGGGGGATCTTTTAACTCATTGTGGTTTTAATTTCCTTTTTTCTGTTTATATTCAAACTTCTTTGCATATGTTAATGGGTTCACATTTTGTTTTTAATCATGTTTTAATTTGAGTGCTCAGGTTTTGGTGTATGTGTGTGTGTGTTTTATTTAGTTGTTTTTGTTTTTTTTTTTATGAGTTGGTCTCTCTCTGTCACCCAGGCTGTAGTGCAGTGGCACCCTCACAGACACTACAGCCTCGACCTGCTGGGCTCAGGCAATCCTTCTGCCTCAGCCTTCCAAGTAGCTGGAACTACAGGCATGCACCACCATGCTTGGGTAATTTTTATTTATTTATTGTAGAGACGAGGTCTCGCCATGTTGCTCAGGCTGGTCTCAAACCCCTGGACTCAGGCAATTCTCTTGCCTCAGCCTCCCAAAGTGCTGGGATTACAGGCTTGAGCCACCGCGCCTGGCTGTTTCTTATTAATGAATCATCTTTTAATTCATTAATAATTTATTATACCAAAATTATGATAACTTCTTTATTGTGAAATTCCTTTAGGTATGTGGAATACAACAGTGAATTAAATCTTGTCTCTCCTCTCGATGGGCCAAGGGCATTGATTTCAGTACCGTGAACCATTCCATGTGATAAGTTCAAGAGGAAAAGTTAACTGAAGTTTTATACTTAAGATGAACTAATCTGTCATGGAAATGAATTGCCTGGAGTCCATTTTTATGGCTTCATTGGAACTGTGACCCAAATATAACAGGTTCTACAGGGCCAACCTCAAAGAACAACATTTTTACCTGAAACAAACATAATTGGAAGCATTTCCAGTTTTTACTTAGTTTGATGATAAATTGCCACATTGAATGGAATGGGTGTGGTTTTAATGGACAGGTGTGTAGCAAAGAGGTCTGCACTACTAGTGATTATGGGCTATAAAATTTCTAGCTCTTGATCTGAACGTTTCTAGAAGGGCTGAATAAAACATACACATACATAAGGTTTATGGAAGTTGGCACTCTAAAGCGTATCATTCCCAGGATAAAGACAAGCAGAAGAGATCCCCATGTCCAGGGGGACCTACGGGGAGAGTGCATTGGCACCGAGTAGAAGGAGGGAATGTGGAGAGGACCCATCCCTGAGAGGCTATGACTGTGTGGTATTCTTTGTGCACATTTGGCACTCAGAATGTCAGTACCTGGCTATCCATGAAACCCCATGCATGGCTTTAATTCACAGTAGTTCTGAATCCTGCTTTTAGGATTCTCAGGAGAGGCAAATGTGCATCTTCTCTGGAGACAGTTGTCTTCATTTCTAGGCCTAAGGTAGTCTCTACAAATTATTATTCAAGGAAAGTGAGTAGTACATGCTCAAACATAAAGATACCAGAAAACATGATACTTTAAGAACTAGCAGAAGCCCACAACATTTTAAATATTGGAATTAAAATTGCTAAAAGATGCCGGAATTAAGTCAACTACTTATCATAGCTAAAGAAATAAAAGATGTTTGCAGGAAATGGGAATTAATGACCTATCAAATTTGAAAAAGAACCAAATGAAACTTCTATACATGAAAAATATAATAACAAAAGTCAGTTTTGGTTAGCCTTCCCATTAAGGACAAATACAAAAGATAAAATAGAAATGAAAGAGGAAAAAACTATTTTTAAAGATAGTGAATTGAAAACAAGGTAGGCCAAGACTCAGGAGACTGAGAATCCAGAGAGGACAGCCACCTCGAGGGCCACGTTTCTCCTGATTATATTGATTCCTGACTTTGTGCTAAGAGGTTGAAAAACTGAGCAGTGCTTTTGACAAACCCTTGGCACAGGGAGATGGAGATGAGGAGCCAGCATCTGGGTGACAGAGTAGTAGACTCCCCTGCTCCGAATTAGGACTGTGACACTGAGTCAGGGAGTAAAGCCCAATTGCATGTTTGCTAGCATCCCTGGCAGGGGGCCTGTAGCAGGAGATGCACTTCTTCAGGAGGCCAATATTTTAGGCATCTAGATTTTGGTTTTTCTTACTGGTATCTATAAAAAATAGCAGGATTTACAGATAATGTGAGTTTTAGATGCAGGTTTAAAATAAATGTCTTTACTATGTTAAAGGAAGTAAGGAAATGAAAATCAATATTAAGAATTTTGCCAGAAAACTGGAAACTAAAAAAGGACCAGAATAAAATGAAAAATACAGTACCCAAAATGCAAATTGCACTTATGAGATTAAATTATGTATGCAAAAACATTTTCTGAAATATAATATACTTTATATAAAGTGACAATATTATTATAGGTAGATATTGCTGGGAGAATGTTGCCAGTAATATAATATGGCAGATACAATAAATTATTCTCTTTTTTAGTTTATTCTAATAAGCTGCTACCTGACCTACTTATTTCAAATTACTTAAGAGGGCACTCTTAATACATAAGTTAGTTCTATTTAATTTTGAATAAGGAGAAAGCTTATCTCATGGTGTGTTGAGAATCGTCTACTTTCCTCCATATTTGTTTTGAGTTGTTCTGAATCTTCCCATGCTCATATAGGTAATTGTAAGAGTTAGGATGCCTGTAGTAGCTACTTTGCTGGCAGGTATTTTGGTTTCATATACAGTTGATTCTGGTCCTTCATGGTAGTTACTGTCTACAAAGTTGCCGTTAATAGTGAATTA